ATGGAAGCAACCTAAGTGTCCCTCAACTGACGAGTGGTTAACAAAAATGTGGTATGTTTACACCATGGAGTTCTATTCAGCAGTAAAGAAAGATGAAATAATGAAATCTGCAGGTAAATGGATGGATGTAGAAATTGTTATACTAAGTGAAGTAACACAGACTCAGAAAAATAAAAGACAAATGTTCTCCCTCATTTATGGATCCTAGCACCAAATCCTATTAAATTCCATGTCCTTTTAATAAGATGATATTGTACAGCAGTCTCTTCTGCATGAAATAACTACCATCATCACGACTTCAGCAGTGCCTGATTGCTAAACATTGTCACAATTGGGCTTGTTGTTGGTTGTGCTCCTTCATTAAAGGAGGGGCAAGCAGGGTCAGTGGACCCTCACCAGAGTATCCAGTTACTCTTCCCAGCCATCTGTATGTAATTTGGCCCTAATCACACATGGTCTCCTGGATTTGGGGAGGGCTAAAGTATACAATCTGGGGAAAGCTAGGAAGAGAAGGCTTGACCCATGCTGGGTAAAGGCTTTCCAGTGTGCATACCCTCCCAGTTATCTTGGTAAGTAAGGTCAGTAAATTCATTGGTTCCCCAGTAAAACTTTAATCAAACATTGGTTTGACACTAGAACCTTAAAAGGGAATACACATTATTTAGTATCCCTAGGAAAAGAATTCTCACAACAGATGGAAAATTTATTTGTTAATGTTATTATGTCTCATAATTATTAAAAAAGAAAATGGAAGTGTAAAAGATGTTACAGGGATATGGGAATGGAGATATTTTCCAAAATAGACAGGAAAAATGAGAAAACCTAAGCAAGTGATGAAGGTCTGTGTAGGTTTGTTATGATATATAAAGGATGAGACAAAAATAATACACATAATCTTAAATTTTCTAAAGTCATAGTTTAGTCAACTAGTTTAAGGAACAAAATATATGTCGTCAAGATTTATCTGGGAACATTTGGGTTTTTTACCCAAGCTTTATCTACATAGCACATGGTAATTAAAAGTACCAGACTGGTAGAACTAACCTTATTGGATGTTTAACAACCATACTTTGAGGCCTATACTAATCTGGTCAGAGGGACTTAAAGGACAGTTTTTGCTCCTTGCCCTCCAAGATGTTCCAGGGGACTATGAGCCTCTCTCAAAAATGTCCTGTAACTGTGGTGAGTCACCTGTCCTCTTGATCAAGGAGGCCATGGAGACACCACCAGTTGGACTTGAACCAGTGTCCAGTCTACAAAGAGGAGGGTCAACTCAGAGGAAACATTTCCTCCATGGTTCCAACCATGGCCAGCTGTGGTTGAGCAGGACGTTTGATTTATCGTCACATAGATGGAACTGGTGAAAGAAAGGAGTCAGGGGCTCCTTCCAAGCCCATGTGACCCCTGAGTAACAGATCCAAAAAGGACCTTAAGAGTAAAAATAAATTGGTTTATCTGGGCCAACTGTATGGCCTTAAACACCCAAAAGGA